CCACGTGACTGATTCTCTTGCTCAGGAAATTTATCAGTACACCGTATGGGAAGGCCAAATCGTTGCGCACGTTTATGGACTGGGGGCCCGAGAACCAGATTCGAGCAGCTCGCGGCTCATGCGGTTGTCACCTCTTGCTTCGTCAAACTTGAAAGAGCAAGAGAATCAGCCACATGAGAAGGGCCGAGCGCAGCAACAACTCTGACGGCAGCGAACATAATTGTCGCGCCATTATCAAGCTCGCATCCGACGCGGACAAGAACATCGTGGCAATTAATGAGCTATCGCCGCACTAATGAAGATCTCAAGCGGTGGCTACAGGAACTGCCTATTAAAGACGTTTCTACCATTACCTTTGATTAACGATTCCCGAGGGAATCCGAAACGTCAGGGCAATAAAACTCTTGTTCCAGTGGTCGCTTCTTGTGAACTGCTTCCTGGAACTCGCATATTCAATTCTATTGGCACACTCTTTCCTGCAAACTTCCTTAAGAGCCGCCGCCCGACTCATGCATATACATGTGCCAACCACAACTATGCAGCTTATTCAATGCTATAGAAGGGCACTCGAACACTGGGTGATTCCGTTTTGATCAATCCCGTGTACTTGAAGGAATAAGGCTTACACAGTTCAATTCAGCAAATCGAATTCTGTTTAGTATGAATGATGGTGCCGACCAAATGAGCTGCAAGTAAGACCACACATTCCCCAACAATCGTCACTTAATTGAAATCGGCGAGCCCTCTATTGATGACTGTTTTGATACGAGAAATGCATGTGGAGCTAAAATATACCACACCTGCATATGGAGACAAGATATATCATTCTTCAGGTTTAATAATTATGATTAAGGTTTAATGAATACAATATGAGTCAGCTGCCCAAGCGCTACATGTATCTTCGATGATTCTGCAGCCGCTGATCATTCCAGATTTCATTGAATGCAGGCAGATACGACCCGGCACTGAAGACTGCAATCGCCTTGTCTGGCCTTCCCACCGACTTGAGGTATTTCTAAAAAAGAATAAGAGAATATCTGAAATTAGCTTCGATACAAGGAAACTACCAAGAGACTGCTCTCAATCTAAGATGATCTGCTTGGTGCTTCAAGGGCCTGAACATACCCACATAAAAGCGCATGACTCTTATGAGTATCAAATGGCAATGACTTGGACGCCTAGGCTGCATGAGATGGGATCTGAATTGCTGTCCCTACCCCCATGTTGTATTGAGATCCTCGTCAAGTGTTGGCTGTGACCAGGTGCTGCAAGGTACTGTCTGCGATACCGGGGCCTAGGCTGTATGAGATGGCATCCATGCCACCGATTTAATTGGATATTAATGGTCGCGTAGGTGCTGGTTCAGCCACCAGCCCCCCGTGGCCCCTATAACACTCCTACTCTTTAGGATCTGGGTCTGATCTGATCTGCTCCCGAGTTCGCTTTTGGTCTTGGACTGGTGTAGGAAAGACATAGCGTGATATATTCAACACAAGTCTACTAGTACTTAAAGCTTCTCCACGCGTTTGTCGCCGTTCCTGCATCATCAAGTTCCGTAGGTCACGTTTGAAAATCATCGAAATCAACGCCCAAACTGTTGGCTGAACGACGACTGTATAACAATCGGTCACTCCAGTATGCGGCTTTTCTAATAAGGAATGAAGTAAGCACACGTACACACTGAAATATTGGACTCGCGCTCACAGCCATAAATGGTAAAATGTTTCGAAATTTTACCTCTGCCTCGGCCCACGAACTAATGCTTTCATTTACTGAGGCTCCTGTACCGATATAAACATAGAGAAGGTCCAAATCCTCAATGAAGGTGACGTCATCTTGGTTCATCCCTTCGCGGTAGATCTTTCCGGTGTAGACGTTATTCAGGACCAGTTGGCCCGATTGGTCAGAGAGACTTAAGTGGGGGAAAGAAAAATGAAGTAAGTTTGCGTTTCGTCGTTGGTTAACAATTGTTGGAAAGATATGCTGCACTCTTACTAAGTCGCTTAGTATGCACTTGGGTAGTATTTGATTGTCAACAAGGCTTCAGCTGTTTGTTTATTTTATCGGAGTAAAAGATATCTAGGCTCACTTTTTTTTTATAAAAGTAGCGATTCTCTGAATGGCCCATGCCGCACGTGTCCTCGAATCGGAATTCATTAGTGTGTTATCAAACACCACTGGCCGTGACTTCATTGTACTTCCAACACAGACACTGGCGAACAGGTGAAAAATGTTGTTCAGCAATGTAACTGCTGCTGATTGCAATAGCTTCAATGAGTTGGGCCCCTAACGTTTTCGAAAGTGCCAGAGAATCGATAATTTGCGAGTTCATAATGTACAACAAGTGGTCGTACATCCTTGATCACTAGTCGCCTAACTCTCGCCGTCTTAGCGAAGTTAAAGACGTTTATGCTTAAAGAGTATAGATAGTCGGCATCGGCATAGGATGTCCAGCGGGGGTATCATAAATATGATAGTCGAGCTCTTATAAAGCGCAAAAAATCACTTATTCTTAACAGAAGATTACCGGCATATAATTTCGCCTCCAGAGGGACTGATAATGCCTCTTCTACATATATGCCTATTGAATAGAACTGTCTCTATCTACATATACTTTTCCTGATTTTATTATTCAGACTTTTCTAGTGCAGTGCGCAAGTTTGTTTCGTGTTTAACAAACCCGCCTTTTGCTTTTTCAAAATAGCTTGTATTCTCCAATCCGAAGTTTCAAATTCATGGATGATTAATTCATAAATAATTAATGAAGCCGTTGTTCCCTTTTCACAATTAAATATTTATGTTCCAAAATAGAAGCAAGTAAAGCTAAAAGTCAACGGACTTCCTTTATTTAACACCCTTTTTAAAGATAGTCATTGAAAAAAGACGTGACTGGCTATGGAAACTTAACAAATGGCTTCCAGGCGAGAAGCGCTAAATGTGTTTATTTCCTGAAAATTGAGACTTACCGCATCATGACCTTCTGAAATCCTTTCTTCTCTGGTTTAAAACTCATGGGAGTCACATCCGCATCACCCAATTTGTTATGGAGTTCATTCTATGTCATGAAAGGCAAACAGAGATATAGTTATTAAAAATTAATTTCGGAAACCCGCTGGATCACGTTCATCGTTATGCAGTCAAAGAGAAAGGGAGAACTATGACAATTAGTCTGACAGATATGCTGAAGGACACTTTTTGTGGGGCAACTATCTTAATTGTTTTGTTCATTTAACAGCGCCAGTTCTATTTACCAAAATTCGCCCACTTGGCACTCGCACATTCAGCGCCCGACTCTTATAAAGCAAGTTGACCATCCCAATCAATTAAAGTTGGAGAAAAGGTTGAGAAACATGGTCATTTCGGGTCTTCGAAACACTCGGATGTGTGAGAAACATCAGCACGGTTTTTGAACAAGCTAACTTAACAACTTCAAGATAACAGCTTTCCTAAAAAGTACGCTACGGTATCCTGATGGTTGTCCCGGACATTCAAAAGGAGACCACAGAGTTTTCTTGCTCGTGGTTTGGCATTTTGAGGCTGCCCATCAAAGAGATCGCTTTCTAACCTTTTCAAAAAGATCTTCTTCATCGTAGAACTCAGAAGTGGCCTTGCAATTGCGTCTCTTCAATGCAGAATTGATGTAATGTCTTGCCTACAAAAACATAGAAAACAAAAAGGACGTTATTTTGTATACAGGTAGAGAGATTAGAGATAGGCGTGAAGTTAGACCCGTTTCAACAGAAAATGCGTCAATATGCCAACAAAATGGAATGCATCTGTCACTTATATTTTCTACAGCTATTATTATTTACCATGAGTTTTACAAAATAACTTTATAGCCTGAAGATTTTATATATGAGCTATCTACTAACATGGTATTGAGTTTGTATGTGTATATCATTTGATTTCACCAGATTGCCAAAAGGAAAGTGGTCACTGCGGAGCAGGTGATCAGCAGGTGAAGTCAATTTGAAGGATCACCAATCGTTCGTCACATCATAATTAATTGTCTTATGAAACGGCAGTGGTCGTAACTGCACTATAATTTTAGCACAAATTACGGCAAGCAGTTTGGACATATGTTTCGACAATGCTCTTTCGGCTGCTGGCAGCCCCTACAATTTTTCCGGCCCCTAAGTGGCTCTTCCAAAGTAATTATTAATAGAGCAGTCCTATTTACAATTTCTCTTTCGAACTCACAGGAGGAATCGTTGGGGGCCAGAACAGAAACACCAAAGGAATCTATATCTAGTATTTTGGATGTAAGCATAGTCGAAAAGGAGCTGGAATCATTGTCATATGAAGTTATATCAATAGCGACTCTATAAACTTTTGCACTTGGTTTTCAACAACT